GCCTCCCCAACGTCCGCGAGCTGCACTTCACACCGTTCCGGGTGCCGCAGCACTGTCAGTCTTTGTATGGGTGTGTGTGTGTGTGTGCGTGCGCGTGTGTGTGCGTACGTGCGTGTGAGTGCGAAATGGGGAGAATGAGAGGGAGTGAACGAGAGAGAGAGAGGGGGGGGGGCACGTGACACCACTGAGAAAATAGCAAGAGAGTGGCAGGATAGAGAGGGGGCAAGGGGGGGGGTAGTTAATTAATATTTCCAACTCCCTGATCGACGGCTGGGAAGGTCTCGCGCCCGGCAAGGCGGGGCTCTGCGCGGGGCTCTTATGGAGGGTGTACCACGCCGCACTCGCGTACCTACTCATCGCTTATTTGCTTTAATCACGCAAACGATGTGATAATGACACCACTTTAGCTTTACCTCTTGCGCTGCCGTAAAAAAAATGTGATCAAAAAGGAAGAACTCGAATTAGTGTTCTTTCATTTCCCTGGAGACTTAAGTAAGTGAGTGCTGGTGTGCAGTGTGCGGTACCTCCTGAATACCTACATGTACTCAGGATAGGTAGTGAGTGTGTACATGATCTCGTTTTCAGGAGAAAGTGTGTACTTGCTCATGCAAGCAGGGGGTAGTGTGTACTTGGCCAGGTAGACACGTAGCGCTCTATGACAAAATATGTGTCCTGAAGTGTGTACTTGGCCTAGTACACACTACCTCCTGCAAACATGACTAAGTACACACTTCTTCCTACATGATCATTGTACACACTGGGTAGGCCTATTCAGGAGGTAATGCATACATGTGAACACTTGAATTTCCAGATAGTTGATAAAGAATATATCTCCGTGGTATATTTTCGTGCAGCCCCCCCCCCCCCGTTTCTCTCTCTCTCTCTCTGTATTTTCAATCGCCCTCTGTTCTGTGCTGAAACATGTTTTTTACTGTACCTTGTGATTGGTACTAATTTATGGGGCTTTTAGCCCTAATGTACCATCTTAGTTAAATAAATCAAATCAAATCAAATCTCTCTCTCTCTATCTCTCTATCTCTCTCTCTCTCTCTCTCTCTCTCTCTCTCTCTCTCACTCTCCCTCTCTCTCTCCTGGATCATGTTTGGCAACACTACTTATAATGACCTCTCTCACAGAGTGACTCCGGCTCCGGCGGACAGCTATACAGATGCACATAGCTGGGCGGATACGAATGACCCGCCACTACTGCGGCCCGCCCCGCCCCGCCGCGCTCGGCCCGCGGCCGCCACTGCTGACGATTCCATTAGGGACTAATGAGTCATTTGTTCTACACGACGCCCCGAAAAAGTCTCCGAGCCCCCCGCTCCCCTCCTCCCATCCCCCGTTCCCCTTCCCCTCTACTCTCCTCGCCTCCTGCGGGTCGCTCCTTAACGACCATCGGTCTCAAATCAAATCGGCGGGGACTGGCTCGACTGGTCGCGCGCGAGAAGGCCTGCGCCAGCCTCAGCCTCCTACATGGCCCAGGTCGAGCCATGTTCACTTCTCTGTTCACTACACTTCACTTCGGCGAAGTAAGAATCGCTCAATTGCGCGACGCGATGACCTCTCTCCCTCTGCTGCTCCGCGACCTCGCCGATGTGCCGCAGCCGCCGCGCTGATTGGTGTCGACTATACGGCCTGCTGCAATAACGACA